TTAGAGTAATTTTTATATCAAAATCAGAAATTGGTTCCAAAATATTCACATTTTTACCGGAAGTGCAGGGACCCCCGTTTTCGTTGGGATCATGTTGGCTTGTACGAAAATTTTAGTACTTTACACTAATGTGAATTTTATTTAGAGTAATTTTTATTTCAAAATCAGAAATTGGTTCCAAAATTTTCACATTTTTACCAGAAGTGCAGGGACCCCCGTTTTCGTTGGGATCATGCTGGCTTGTACGAAAATTTTAGTACTTTACACTACTGTGAATTGTACTTAGAGTAATTTTTATATCAAAATCAGAAATTGGTTCCAAAATATTCACATTTTTACCGGAAGTGCAGGGACCCCCGTTTTCGTTGGGATCATGTTGGCTTGTACGAAAATTTTAGTACTTTACACTAATGTGAATTTTATTTAGAGTAATTTTTATTTCAAAATCAGAAATTGGTTCCAAAATTTTCACATTTTTACCAGAAGTGCAGGGACCCCCGTTTTCGTTGGGATCATGCTGGCTTGTACGAAAATTTTAGTACTTTACACTACTGTGAATTTTATTTAGAGTAATTTTTATATCAAAATCAGAAATTGGTTCCAAAATATTCACATTTTTACGGCAAAATCTCTTCCGTTGTATGGTCCGCGAATGATAAGTTTAAAAACGTACCTGTAACGCTGTTGGATCAACACATTCGATACATTTTTGTACAACGTGGTTTCCATTCTGATCCTTGACGCATTTCAAGACGTGGCCGTCCAATTCCTTCACGATTTCCTGCTGCTGATCGGGCGGGATCGACTCGAGAGCTTTCTGTATCACGCGACATCCATACATCTGCAATGCGAGCGGCAGCACGTGGCCTCTGACTTTCTGTGCCAACGTCGTCTTCTGTTCCACAGTACCGAACTCGAAAAATTTCTGAATCACGTAGTTGCCAAAAACGTCGGTCATTAAGTTGTAAGCCGCCGAAAGGATCTCGTTGAAGACCATCTGCTTCTCAGCCGCCGTGGCCCGTTCCAACTTCTGCTGTATGAAGCGAGAACCGTGTTGGTCTTGAGAGAACTCGACTATATGATTTGCCAGATCTCTAAAGTAAAAAATACAAACAAATAAAGAATGTCCAAAAATATGATCAGAAGCAAACAGAAGACATGACGGTAACCCTTAATATACGCATTTAGAACCCACACAGGTGACACCGAAAAATAGATCATTTCCCAGTATCCATTCAGACCCACTTGAGTAACCCTAACACTAACCTTAGCTGCAAATTGGGGAAACGATTGTTTCTAAAGTCTTCGAGCAGTCTCGACCGTCCCTGTGGTCCCTTGTCTAACGAACTGCTCACCGCCGTCAGCGAAGAATTCATCTTGGTGAAGAGCGAGTTCGTCGAGCCGAACATGGCATTCGCGGTGAGTCCTGTTGCGATCGAGTTCCTGTATTTGGCCTCGGCACCCGGAGCCGCCGAGAGTACTCGCGAGTTCACGAGACCGCCCAGCTGAAGGGGTGCGGTGGGTGGAGGCGTTAGACTGCCCGTCAGGGGACTGGGACTGCTGCCTAAACCGTAGGACGCCGGCCATTTCGGTCGGTAATCAAGGGACGGCGAAAATGCCGATGTGTTCCGATCGAACGAGTCGCGACGACCCGTTGTCGAAGTATTCAGTCCCAAACCTAAACAAATAAAATACAAAAACTTAAAATTGAAGCAATAAATAAATAAATAAAATAAAAAGGAAATTGTTCACCTAAAACTTTAAGAATAGTAAGACTGCAAAAACCAGAGAAATGTGAATTATACGAAAAAATGAACGATATGAAAAAGATAAGGTCAAATAATTTAACAACAAATTGTCTCTCCCCTACTGTTTCTCAGAAAAAAAAAACAAAATAAAAAACGTTGCGGGTGCTCATTACTTCTGCCTCGGTTAATTAAATTATGAAGAACGAATATCGGGATAATTAACTCACAGGCAATGCAATTACTCTAATTTGACGGCTGGCGTGATCGATGATCTAATAGGCTGAAGAATGAAAGTTGTAAGAAGCGTTTGATCGTGGGACACGGCCAAAGATGATATCACCTACCGCGTAATACATATTCAAGGACATCGAAGGCCGTCAAACTCTCGGATGCTTCTCCTTATTTTTAACTCATACTATTTATTAAATGATCGAGTATCGTAATTAAACCGAGAAGGAAAAAAGAAAATAAATATAAACGGTCGAGTTCGAGTACTACTACGGATGTATCTATACTTTTCTCTTGTTTTCGTACGAATTTGACCGCACTGCAAACAGAATCTTTCAACACTCTCCATTCATCATTTTACTTTCGACGAAACAAAGGAAACAATTCACACGTAATGTGTGTAACATATGTATTTCGTTTTTATCATGAAAATATTCCCCAAGTTATAAGTTTATAATTGCATATTGCAAAAATTACGAAAGCGTACAACAGTCCAACAGTTTTTTTGAAATTTCGACTTGTAATTAGGAAAATTTTGACATGCAACCCCAAATTTCGAATTGTAACTCGAAATTTATATCATGAAAATATTCCCCAAGTTATAATAATTGAATATTGCAAAAATTACGAAAGCGTATAGAACGGTCCAACAGTTTTTTTGAAATTTCGACTTATAATTAGGAAAATTTTGACATGCAACCCCAAATTTCGAATTGTAACTCTAAATTTATATCATGAAAATATTCGCCAAGTTATAGGTCGATAATTGAATATTGCAAAAATTACGAAAGCGTATAGACCGGTCCAACACTTTTTTTGAAATTTCGACATGTAATTAGGAAAATTTTGACATGCAACCCCAAAATTCAAGTTGTAACGCGAAATTTCAACCTGTAACGTTAAATGCTTATTGAATCGTAACCTAACTCAATCTCAACTTAACCTAAGGCAATTTTAAGAAAGGACAAGAGTACATCAGCAGTTATTTCGTTCGTGTTGCCTTTACCTACTGTACCCTTTTGATTGCAATAACCAATCGAATGAAAGCTTTAAGTTCAATTAGATTAGGGGATTATAACTTTAGGGGAGGTAAAGACAACACGAACGAAGTGACTGTTGATGTCGTAGTCGTGTACTTCTTTGTTTATACGATTGAACTAAACCTAATCTAACCCAATTCTAACCTAATAGGCAATTTGAATCGCAAAACAACGTAAAATTATGATTCGGACTGTAATTTAAATGAACTGTTAGGTGCAGACGTTTTGTTGGCGATTGCGGCTGACATTTTCAGTGGCACTGCATTGACAATGTGGATGTTGAAAATATCAGTCACAGTTTCCAACGAAACTTGTATACCTAACATTTTATTTAGACCACGGTCCTTCAGCCTGAATCATAGTTCTACCATGGATTTTGGCCGTAAAAGCGTATGTTTTTGTACTGACAGGTAACTCATTATACAACTTGAAGTCGAAGTTTCAAATTGCAAGTCGAAATTATTTGCATTGTTGTCTCTCTGATACAAACGTTGCAAATCAATTTTGAGTTAGTTCCTATTATTCGAAAATTTAAAACTTTGCATGCACGTATAATAATGTTTAATTTTCACTTTTTTAATTAGGTAGGTAGCAATTAACATTTGTTAGATGGAATTTTTCCTACTGAACTGCGAATTGAAATGAGAACTAGATAGGTAGGCATAGTATAATGATCCGCTTTAGGGATTTCACAATAGGTAACGTGTCGAGTAGTTTTCCGAAAAAAGTTTTAGTGTAACCTATTTTATTTAAAAGTCCTTTTTATAAATATGCCGTTTATACAACAGACGGAACTAAAATGCATACAATTGAATATTATTTTTTTGAAAAGTATCTTTTGTTATCATCAAATGAACTAAAAAGTAAAAAATAATTATTGTAAAAGATGTTACGTGCAGAATTTGTACAGTTCGTACAATGTGGTTATCAGAGTATCGAACTTAACTATAATTCAATAGTTCTGTACCAATTTTAATGTAGTTACTAAAAAGGTTGGTGCAATTTAAGAAGTCAAACTGATATCCGTAAGTCATAACTATACGCATCAAGTTTTTATGTCACCTCATAAAAAATTGACACAAGAATATTACTTTGTCATAAAGTTCATCATTCTAATGGTTACAACTTACAAATTGTACAAGTCAATAACTACTGTTATAATTATGTCTGCTTTTTAATTTCCTTTAAAATAAAAAAATAGGTAATTATAAATTTTCTTTAACAATTATGTATTTTATTCTATTATGGAGTTCATTAATGTCAGAGATTATTTCTAAAATCTTTCCAAAATTCATCAGATTGAATTATTTTACAAATTCCGGCGTGTAAATTTCTAGTAAATAGAGCGGGGTTGTTAATTTTCTTGGTTGTCCGTTTTGGCCAGAAAAAGTACAGTGGAATTCGTTTATTATGACTCCGCCTATATTGACCAACCGCTTAATACGAAGTAATTGCAGTGTTAAGTTTGGTTTTTATATTAAATTCTCTATATGGAAGTTCGGATATAATGATTCCGTTTAAAATGGCATATCGTTTATTAAAACTGATTCTCAAGAAATCATATCCGGCTATAATGACCCAAATGATTAATAATAACATTTTCGCTCATTTTTCTGACCCTTCAGTTCATCGTTTTTTTTTCTTTTTCTGTTAATAAATATATACAATTTGTGGTTTTTCTCTCTATCAAACTAAATAACTAACCAAAATAGAAAGGTGTTTATTTTCTAAGACTATACTTTGTATGACGCGCGCTTAGTATGATGTGGTTGTCATTTCCCTTCGATGTCATTATAAGCGGATTCTACTGCATATGATTTAAAATTATTCTTTCAGAATGTGTACGAATAACATATGATATCCCCAATTGATTCTACTATCCTACCACTAAAGAACAAAAATCATTTTAATACAAATTTGTCCAAATTAATACAGGGAGGGGGTCTCTAAAAGCAATATTTCAATGGGACGCCAGAGGGCGTCAATGTTACCCATTACTGATGTACTTTAAACATTCGAGTATGTTGAATATGAATATCACATTCATTTTCCTATAATTTCCCTAAAAACAAATTTCTTCGACTTTTCATCATCAAAGTCGGTCATGAATAAATCAAAATCTGAGCCAAATATAATAATATTGGTCAACTAGTGACGAAAAAACTAGCTATGGAATCATTTCTACAATAATCTTGGATGTCTCGACTCGAAGAACAAATTTGCATTCTTATTCTTCATCTCTTTGAAATAAAAATAAACTTTACACATGTTTGTATCTATTATTCGCATGTATGTGTGATAAATTCTGGAGAGGGTACAAACAGGCCTGTACGTTACGTCGCCGACAAAGTGAGCCCTTTCCTAACCCCTTTTGATCTCGCCGCTGTTGCACAGAAGCCACGAAGAGCAACAGACGCATGTCATAACTAAAGCTTACATGTATTTTTATTTATACTTTTGGTTAGTTTCACTTAAGAAAGAATAAATTGTTTTTAAACAAAATAAAAGTGTTATACAGTCCACTTATTGATTAACAATCATACAACACTGTTCACCAAAAAGATCCATTTCTAGTACTTTTATTGTACGAAACTTTAAAATAATATATCCTTAATTTCATGTAACGAAAGTGCGTAAAAATTAAATGTTAAATGACGTTTTAGTGAAACATAATCGAACCAAACGTTTTCGCACGTTTGTCTGAATCTTTTCCTCGTCGTGTCCTCAAAATATGCAAGGTACTTATTCACGTAAACTTCGGAAAGGTCATTACAATAAACGCATATTACAACGTCAGGCAGGCAATAAAACTTCTTTAATTTTAATCGATGACATTTGCAACATAAACAAATACGTAATTTCTATTTGCCATTACATTGCACTTGACAGCAACAACTATCTTGCAAAACCTCCGCAATCCACGTTAATTGCTCAGGTTGCACTTTTTGTCATTTTGTGTTTTGTAAGGAATCTGTCGAAACAACAAAAATTTCATCTAAAGTGAAACTGTGTCAACCTTGAACGGTCAATAAATAATTGAATTATTGTTTGCACCGTAAAATAGTGCTTTTCAAAAATTAAATCTTCACTTTTATTATCCACTCTTCCAAGTTATTTATTTTTAAAATGTGCAGCTATAAAAACACAATTGCTCGTTTGGAAGATTCATTACTTTCGTTATTTATGGCCAAAATAATGCACCGAGACCTTGCCACAAAACTTAATAATCATTTCAATTGTAATTGTCTACAAAAGATTATCGCTTTAATCACTTTTAAGCGCCCAACAGCTTCGTTTTATTAAAATTACGAACGTAAAACAAAATCCAAATAAAGTTTATGGCGAGAGAAAGTTTGATAAAACCAAATCTCTCTCTAGTTAATCCGTGTAATTAAATTTCATTTTAACCTTCGCTTAATTAACAAAAAAGCCGCAAGGACTAGAGCACAAAAAAAAAGAAAATTTTACTAAATAAAACCTTAAAATTTAAACAACGCATAAATAACTTTTTTTTCGTCCATAATACTTCAAAATACATTACAGTGTAAATGTTTCAGAAATATACTTTGAAGTCGAAAAGTTGGAGTGAAACGAATAGCTTCCCATAATTTTCAAAATATTTTTAGAGTGAAAAATAACTTCCTCTTTATACCTAGTTAACC